CTATACGGCTTTTCGTAAGGACAGGCAAGCAAGGGGAGGTGGTGTGGCCGTCCTGATCCAACAAAAATTTCATGCTGTCTTGTTGGATGATGTACCGGAGCTTGAATGTATCTGTATTAAAGTAACTTTGTGGGGCCACTCATTCATCGTATGTGCATTATATAGACCGCCGGACTCAACTCTTGAATACCTATTAAAACTAAAGGAACACATGTCTAAATACCATGGCAACAAAGTTCTTTTGATTGGCGATTTCAATCTCCCCGGAATAGATTGGGAGCGTTTTGAAACCTTTACAGCCAATATCAGCAATGCAAATGCAGTGTTTGACATTATGCTCACACATAATTTGGTACAACTGGTTCATGAACCAACGCATTATCAGGGTACTGCTAGTTCTATCTTAGATCTGGTATTTATTCCCCGTGACTTCAGTACACATACCGTAGTAATTGAGCAAGGGCTGTCTGATCACTACCTTGTGTCAGTTTCTATCCCTCTTGAACCGCTTTCGGCAACTGCGAACTCGTCCTTTCATTGTGTGAAAGACTATACACACGCCAATGATGCTTGCATTATCGAGCACCTAGAAACCTGTTTGATAGATTTTGTAGCTACCGATGTTTGTAGATTGTGGGACCAATTTAAACGCATATGCTTCTACTGTATTGATAAATTTATACCGTCTAAACGTAAAAAGGTGCATAAACATACGCCCTGGATGACGAGAAGCATCATTCATCTCAAGCGTAAAGTTAAAAGATTAAAGAAAAAGCATGCTGACCCCAAAATTATAGCTGACGCTCTAGATAAGCTTGCACATGCTGTACACACCTCGAAGGAATACTACTTCACTACGTCACTCGCAAACTTCATAAAGAATGATCCAAAGAAGTTCTGGAACTATATTAGCGAAAAAAAGAAACCCATATCACAGATTTTTGTCAATGGTTTAATGGTATCTGATCAAGCTGCCATTGCTCAACACCTCAATGAGTATTTTCATAGTGTATTTTCTACTCCTAGTGCTTCCCCATCTGTCATAAATGCCGACAATGCTGCGAATGTAAACTTTATTTCTTATTCTGGTGTCGTTGCTATGTTGTTGAACCTAAAGACTAAGACTTCTTGCGGTCCCGACAATATCCCTAACATATTTTTGCGTCGCTTTGCAGAGTCTGTTGCAAAATACTTACTCGTCATTTTTCGAGTCTCTCTGTTGTCAGCGGAATTGCCAGATGACTGGAAGTCGGCACGAATAGTTCCTATATTCAAGAAAGGTGACCGCCTATTACTGCAAAATTATCGACCAATCTCCTTAACATCATCATGCTGTAAGCTTATCGAACACATAATAGCTCATAAATTAAATGAATTCTTAGAAGAACGCTCAGTTTTAACAAATCATCAACATGGGTTTCGAAAAGGATTTTCCACTACAACACAATTGGTTACTATCGTTCATACCTTTGCAGCTTGTCTTGATGCTAACGGCCAAATTGATGTAATATTCTTAGACTACAGTAAAGCATTCGACACAGTTCCACACGATAAACTAATTCTAAAGCTTCGGTTAGTTGGTATACCAGAATTATTTATCTCCTGGATCTCAGCTTATCTACTCAATCGCAACCAATATGTTCAGGTAGGAGAAAAACAATCGGGCTGCCTTCCTGTGACTTCTGGCGTTCCGCAGGGGAATGTACTAGGCCCCCTTCTGTTTTTGGTCTACATTAATGACATTGTAAATGTAATTAGCACCCCGGTACAAATTCGTTTATTTGCTGATGATTGTGTTTTGTTTAGAGATGTGACCTGTATTAGTGACCAATGTGATCTGAATACTAACTTATGCAATGTATCAAAATGGTGTGAGCAATGGGGAATGCTTCTTAATGCAAACAAATGTGTGTATCTCCCCATAACGCGCAAAAAAGTCCCATTAAACTACACATACAATTTAGCTGAAGCACCTTTACTTAAAGTAGCCTCCTATAAATACTTAGGCTTAACGTTAACAAGTACCTTATCCTGGAATTTGCACATAAATAACATCTGCTTTGCCCCTTTCCGTAAATTATGCCTTCTCCGCCACAAGCTCAAGACTGCTCCGCCTAGTGTTAAACTCCTCTCCTACTTTTCCCTAATTAGGCCTAAACTTGAGTACGCCTCCATAGTTTGGGATCCCCACACAAAAATTAACGTCCAAAACCTAGAAAGAATTCAAAGAAAAGCAGTACGATTCATATATAGTAAATTTATGTCAACCGACTCCCCCACTGCATTACTAACAGCAAATGGTATAGAACTATTACAAATTCGAAGAACAAAAAGTCGGCTACAATTTCTTTCAGACATAGTGAACCACAGGCTACCCTTAGACACCGCAGTATACGTATCCCCCTTGTTAAGCAGACCCACTCGACACCACTATCCTCATTCCCTAACGCCAATCTTCGCAAGGACTAATACTTTCCGGTACTCCTTCTTCCCACAAACAATAGATGATTGGAATAAACTAACCGAAGCATTTCCTCAACGCCCTTGACCATTTTGTATATACTCTTCTTCCATGACTTTCTTGAATGGTATTAGCACCTTGTTGTTCAACTGTTACTTTTTTTTTAAACCATAACCCCTCTGTCTTATAGCAAAGGACTTGTGTAAGAACGCTTTGCAACATTGTTTCACTCTGTTATTTAGTGTGTTTCATGTATGCCCACCCTGCTTGGACTTTTTGTCTGCAGTATTCTATAAATAAATAAATAAATAAAATAAGTACGTCAAGAGCTGTCGGGAATGTCAGCGCCGAAAGCAACCATCTGTTAAGCCAGCTGGTTTGCTTCAGCCCATTGAAGCACCCTGCACGCCGATCGACCAAGTCGGCATGGACATTCTCGGCCCATTTCCCCTGTCTGCGGACAGCAACAAATGGGTGATCGTCGCGACCGACTATTTGACACGCTACGCTCAGACGCAGGCGATCCCACGAGCCACGGCTTCTGAGGTAGCACAATTTTTCATGCGCCACATCGTGTTACGACACGGTGCTCCTTCCAGTGTAATAACGGACAGAGGGACGGCATTCACGGCGCAGCTTACGGACGAAGTTTTCAAACTGAGCAACACCAGACACCGAAGGACAACTGCGTACCACCCGCAAACCAACAGACTTACCGAACGACTGAATAAGACCCTCGCAGACATGATCTCAATGTACATTGATGTACAGCACAAAACATGGGACCGGATCTTACCTTACGTGACCTTCGCGTATAATACCGCCGTGCAAGATACCACGCGATTCACGCCATTTCGGCTTCTCTACGGCCGCGAAGTGCAGACCATGCTAGACTCTATGCTACCGTGCCAAGACGAAGACGAGTTGGCAACTGACGCCGAAGAATTCGCAGAGCGTGCTGAGGAAGCCCGGTAGCTCGCGCGACTGCACATCGGCCAGCAACAGCAGGCAGACGCACGACGCTATAATACCCGCCATAGAGAAGTGCTTTACAGCCCCGGAGATCAGGTTTGGGTGTGGACGCCCGTCCGCCGCCGTGGGCTTAGTGAAAAGTTACTGAGCCGGTACTTTGGCCCATATAAAGTGTTATGCCGCGTCAGGGACGTGAACTACGAAGTGGTTCCGGACTCAACACCCCATGCACGGAGCAGGACACGACTGAGGCCGGACGTCGTTCATGTGTTGCGCATGAAACCATTTATTGCGCGTTGTTCGTAACTTTTCCTTTACCGTACAGCGTTCTTTGTGTTTTTTGTTTATTTTCGTGAACTTGCTTTCTAGTTCATTGACATTTCCTATATTGACACACTCTTCAATTTCTACTTTCACTTTATCCAAATTTCCAATTTTTTCCACGAGCCTATGTAGTAGCACCGCGGTGCTGCTATGTACTTTTTTTCCTCTTTTTGGTACTTGTTTTTTTTTCTTTTCGGAAGGGGGGATAATGCCACCAGCACGTAGTGGGTCGACAGCAAGAGCGGCTCTCAATCTGGAGGAAAAAAGAAGATCGCGTGTTTCTCCTCTGCTCGAGAGCCAGCCACGACTGACGCATCGTTTTAGTGCTAGCTACCCGGTGGTTTAATAAATCCCCCAGTACTTCTGACTCATTGTGACAATATGCATCTTTCACTGAATTTAGGTGTTGTTCGATGTATTGCAATATTTAGAGCATCGTGCCCTCTGTTTTAATACGCCTCCAACCGCTGACAAGGTCAATCAAAACGGTTGAGGGACACCTTGATTCTTACATTGTCGTTGGTCTGATGAGTTGCATTATGCGTCAGTTAGCCTTATACAATCGTGTCAAGAACGGCAGCATGGAATAAGTACAAATGACCCCGCTCCCCCCCCCCCCCCCTCCGAAAGAAACAACGTTTCGGCTCCTTCGCACTAGCGGTGCGAAGATTGAGGAAAGAGTGGAGCTGGGGATGTTCCCCTCCTCTTTTTCATCATGCTCACACTCACTTCACTTTTTCACCCTTTGCTATACTGTACGATTCATGACGATACCGTGCTATACCATTTCTCGTCGTTTTTGCCTCCTCCTCAGTCCACTTCCATTTTCCTCCAATTTGCTATACAGTGAATACTAGCCAAGCTCTACACTATTTTCTCTCTCTCTTTCTAACTCATCATTCTCCCTTCCTTCTCCGATCTTTTTGCGATACCATAATATACGTGGATATGCTATGCTTTCTTTCTCTCTTTTTCTTTTTAGTTACACCTCTTTCATGGCCTATACACTTTTGGCACACAGCACGGTGATCGAGTATTTTTGCCTTCTGCTCACATTAAAACAAACGATCCTCACCCTACCAGTTATAACAGCCAAGTAAGAAAACATAAATGCTTTCGTGGGTACCTAGTCCAAATTCATAATAATAAACAGTATTTATCCAGTGACATGTGGCTGGTATGCACCAAAGCTATTTTCATGGTTCCAACAAAAGTGTTAATACAATTTATACTTCAATTGCAGCTGACGTTGTTCCGCACTACACGTGACCTCGTCATGGCAAAGGCTGTCCCATTCGTCATCCTCGTCATCGCTGTTCTTTGCAGCAAGGCAGCCGCGCAACTTGGTCTTGGCCTCTATGGGGGCGTTGGACCGTATTTTCGGCCAGGCTTCGGCTATGGCGGATACGGAGGCTATGGAGTATTTGGCGGCTATGGATACCCAGGCTTGAGATTCGGCGGTGGCTACGGAGGGTTCGGACCTGGCATTGGATTTTTCGGTCGATAACAATGTGTGTACTTCAATCACCCCATAGATGTGAACAATTACAGCTCCTTGTGAACGCTTGAATAGCAAATACATTCTTACAAAAGAAATGAAAAGTCGCTTTATGTTTTACCAGATCACACAAATACAGTCGAAACAAGCAAATATGTGTTCAAAAAATGAAACGAAACACTTACCCCTCATTTCACGTTACTCAAAGCACATAATGCTTCAACGTGTGTGGGTTACTTTATAGACAATTGAATGCAGCGCGACCAAGACTAAGACACAAGGACAATTACAAGTGCTCACTAACAGCTTCATTTTATTCAAAGTCCATCGTGGGATTGAAGCACGGGAACTAATCATTTCAGCTAGCGGAATACAGTAACTAGCATGACAATTTCAGAAAAAAATATATTAGCGTATGCGTGTTTTTGCGCTATAAAAGTTTAGGTCAAGATTAAGAAAAAGAGTCACTAATTGCTCGTATGTGCCCATGACTAGTGTGTAGAACCCTCTTTCGCATGGAGTGATGTGCGCGAAATATACAACATTAAACTCAAAACCTTCATGCAGCATATTGAAGTTTACAGCGCTAAGTTTTGTCAGCCAAATGTCTGACAAAAGCTGTACAAATAAACAAGCAAATGAAGCTCCAGATAGTCTCGGCAGCCCTTTACAGAAGTGACAACGTCTTGCTGAAGAGAAACGTATGCTGATATTTGCAATGTAACTGTTCTTGACCATGCTTTGCGCACTGGCGTGAATAACTTTAGCCATTACAACTTTTTTTCGATGCCATTACGTACCAACAATAATATTTAGTGCAGCACTTTAGATTTAGGTAGAAAAAGTGTTGTCAGGAAAGAAATGAACAGGCTAGCTTCAAATATTATTGCCTATCAGAGCAAGAAGGTGGCAACTCGACCACACTTCATTGGTATTGTACAAGCGTGCGTAGCGTCTCAGAACGCTGGTTTGCATGAGAGAATTCCTTGAGAAAAATCGTGGGTTGTAAAAACAGGAGGCGGCACTGAACCTAGCGCTTATGAAGCATAAAAAGCAACTGTAAACAGCAACTTTCATAGCTGATGTAACTCTAGACTGCATTATATTTGGTACAACAAGAGTAAAATTGTGAAAGGAACTAAACGAAGCTATGGAAATACAAAAACATATTTGATCTTTCCGTTCAACAGGTCGAACACAGCTAGAACTAGCTGCTAGATTTGTTAAAATTCTCGCGGTGGCAAGGTTCTGTTTGGTGTCGCATAAGTAAGTTGCCAGGCTTCGGGTTAATTGCCCCTTGAGTTTCGGCTTTCCCGTATAATTTTTTTGTGTAATCCGCTGTTTCTGCGTGGTCTGTTAGCATCGCCAGTTTTACTTTGCGGCCACAGTGTAATGCAGAAGTCTGACCCTCCTTTTTTTGTCGAACATTTCGTTCTACGACTAACACATCAAGCCCGATCGTGCCTCGGATGACGAGAATTTCAGCATTCGGACTCGATGCTACGAGTACGTTTATGATGCTACGAGAGTATTCCGCACACAGCACGGGGAGCGTTGTAATACATCGTTTTCATCGAAGTACATAATACCTCCGTTGCCATGCGTGTTATTCTGATGCCGCAGGTGATTCGGGGAGAGCACGGAAGCTGGCTAATTACTGGGAACCCTGAAGTTTCACGTAGGTTACTGGCGCTCTAGTGACACGCGTACAACACGTGCAGTTGATCAACAGCGAGAGCCGATAGGAAGACTTCACACCAAAGCTGGAACCGTATGAACAAATATAGTCACCAGGTTCTATGACAGTCTGGAAACACTGGCCTCCTAGTTAGGTAACTGATTTCTGCGACTTTGAACAGAACCTTGCCTTCGTCCTGGCCATTGTGCAGCTTTATGGATTACAGCCATGCAGGAATTTCTGAAAAGTCTAGCTTTCCGGTATGCCTCTCTATGGCCAAGTATATTTCAAGCGACATGACGTCTTCATGGGCACCAAAACAAAAACTGGTGATTCAGCTAGTAAAGTTTCTACAAAGGATTTACAAACTTGCAAAGCTACTGCACCGAGTGTCATTTCTGACAACTCAATGGCCAAACTGGGCATTTTTCCTTAGCTCACGAAACCTCAATGACTTAACTTGCACAGTATTCCCTTCGTGAGTTTGGCAACCAAAAATAAAGTAGTAATAACATTTAAGCCGTAGCTCCGATTCTGAAACCATAATATGCGACACGCTACACATATTCTGATTGTGCTTTAAAGAAAAGACACCATGCCCCAGGAAATCGGCTCAAGAAGCATTGAGACTATAGGACATCAAGGAAGCAGTTATTCTTATGATTTGAAGAGGCTAAGCACGCTTTCAATATTGCGATTGAATTCTGCCTAGTCTCACAGTCAAGCGGAAAAGTCATGAAAGGGTTGACTGACGACTGCCAATTTGTAGCCTGAAGGCACCCTCTCGAATGAAGGATGTAGTTTCGTTACTGCTCAATGCAGCGGGATGTTTGCGGCTTCATTTCATAAACAAGTGGTTGATAATGAACACTCTTATGACATTTCCGTACGCTTGTAGGACTACGAGTTATTGAACTGCTATAATTTGTGTTTGTGTACCTCGATTTCTTCACCATCGCGTTACTCTTTGCTGACATGCTGGCTTATCTCAAATGGTAGTACGATAGCCCCTGAAAGAGGTTGGTTTCAACTCTCACAAAAATTTCATATATGAAGCTATATAATAATCTCCATATATGACTTTCACAGGAATTCGGCAAATCGGGCTTTATATATAATCCTCATATATAGGCATTATATAACTAGATATGCCGGATTTCTGAGATTGCGATATATGGGCCTTATGCAACCTGATATATTTAATCTCTTATATACCCATTAGTGGACGTTGCTACGGTAGGCATATGTGGTCACAATCTATATATGGCTATATATAGAAGCATTCATATAACACTAAACAGGACCTTATATGGATACCTTTCTACACAGCTACTCAGGTGATTCATCTATATCAATTCAGATTGTGTCACCAATATATACTATAGCTCTACAAATCATTATGCAGCTGAAAATATTGCTGTTTATTAAAAGGTGTTCATGCAGTCGTCATCGTTTCCAAAACTAATACTTATGTATCCTCCAAAAATTTTCGTTCAAGTTATCCTCATTATCTCTCGAAGTGTTATCATGAAGTTATTGCAAAAATGTAATTCGGCAACCTATTTAAAGTTTGTGGTTGGCACAGGTCACTGTTAGTCCATTTTTTTTCTGGAGATATACACTGTGTTTAAATTCATTGCGTATCTATTGACACATTGTATTGGTTTTCGCTAAGAGATTTTCAGCGGTGTTTTCATTTAAAACGCTTTTGATGTGTCAATTGAGCTTCCACAGTGAGTCAAAAAGGAATATTGACTTGGTGTGGACCATAAAAATTGCGTGTCTATTGAATAATTTTAAGGTACTTGATGTTCAAGCTTTATGGAGTTTGGTTAAAAGCAATTGGTATGCAACCTTGTCATGTACAAGTTTTGTGACTAGGAATGGCCTATGGCGTGACTGTTAAAACTGGTGTCTATATATAGGCGTCTGGGCGCTTGGGAACGTAGGCGATAGCAGTATTTGTTGCCAACCAGACACAAAAAATCTTTTGAAAACGTAACCTGTTTTCCATTCTACCATTAATCCAATAATAAAGCGATTGCGTTAAAGAGCTCGTTCCACAGAAATTTTGGCGCAGGTGTCTGTAGCTCTAAGCCTAAAATTCCTATCCGTGACGAAAAGTTGAGAAAATGGAAAAACAACTTATAATAAAAACTTCCTGGTCCTAGTGATGATCAAAACCAGGCCATTTGTGAGGCAAGCAAGTGTTCCAGCACACAGCCACACGGCTGCTTGGAATTAAAGTGGGAAAAACTTCATCTGGTTGGAAAATGCGGAAAAAATAACTTTTTATGCTTAACAAGCACACGCGTCCAGTATACATGTTTTACAGCACAAAATTCACGATCGCAGTTATATTGCATGGTACAAGTGTACAACATTGCCTTCGGGGATCACAAAATGCTAATACCAAGACGACTTCGCGGTTTACGGGCAACCAATCATTACAAAAGGCACACAGGTTACTGCACGTATTCCCTCAAGACTGCAGAGTAGGTGCATAGCCAGTTTCAAAGTACTTTACGCACAAAATATTGCTCGTGGTTTAAACAATCCTACCCTTTTTTTAGCACAGAGTGCAGCCATGTGCGAAACCTTCAGTGAGACAAGACACTTTCAACATTCTTAATTGCACAGTAATATTCCACAATTAAACTTGTTCACGTAGCATCATACAATAAAGATACACACTGAGTGGTTGAATTAGGCACAAGGGACAGAATATTGCCATAGCGTTTAACTTTGAAAAGCGGAGCTAAATTGTTCTCCAGTTTTTCACACAGTAGCAAGCCTTAATGCACGACGAGTTTCATTTGTTCGCTTGCGTGAGTTTATGTATAGTGCTCACGGATTAAAGCACGCCATCACAATATTTTATGTAACTACGGGTATGTGCAGTTCCTCAAGGCAACCACGTATTGTTGCGACACCTGTAACAATATAGTTAACTCCGATGTACTAATTCCACTAGAAAATACACATATATCACCATGTCTGTATATGGGGGAAAATTATGGAATATTTCCGCGTTGTCTCGTTTCAATCGCGAGCACTGCATCCTGCTTTGAAGAACGAAACTAGCGAAAAAAGTTATCACTATATGTGTTTATCAAGACACGCGTAATGTTAAAAGTGAGCGGAAAGTAGGCGAAAGAAGACAACTTAAAACGTAGGCTCATAAATCTCACGACACCCTTGAAGATGGGACGTCCAACTGTTTTTCATTTTTAATTGTGCAAGTTGTAATTTATTCTTGGTAATTACTCAAGCACCAAAGCGTGCAAAATAGAAAACAAAATATTTACATCAATCTTTATTTTTACTAAAAGTACAATAGCACGAAACCCATATTTACTGGTGTAGAGTTTTTGATTAAATAGAGTCCTGTCTGGAAAAAATAGAAAAGAAAGTGTTATC